GAGCAGTGAACACGTTAATTTTCAATACATGATAGAATGCCCATAAAGATGATAATACGTTGGATTAAGAGCCATGAGAGATCGCTAGAAGAACCAGTACCATTCGTCCTTTGGATCAACTGGCCTACGTCAAAAATTCTATATGTCACAAATGAGTATCATCTGCAGTGGTCAAGCAGTGGAAAAGTTAGTATTCCCGATCAAAAACATTTTCTTTCAGAATTTAAATTCGCGAAATCCATATGTGGTACTGGACATCACCCGTCGCGAGACCTTACCATCGCCACTCTCCGCATGTCCAGAATTGTAGTACGCTTCGATCCACGATCCATAAATGTTGGTCGCGTGGACTTTCAATGAGTCGAACCAAATTCAGAGATCGCCTTCGAAAGACGTCGCGCGCGCGTTAACCGAACTTAATCGTGTCCAAGTTTTCGTATTTTTTACCGAACCGAATGCGGATAGGGTGTTTATCTCGGGCATTACCCGGGTAATGCCATGACGGCGGCACTCACGTAGCCGGTTACGATACACGATAAGATTATTCGTCAATGTTATATCGATGGTACACACAAGTAAAAAAATATAACGAACGTTGCGGTAAAGCTTTTTGGCGTTTTTTTGACATCATTAAGGATGTCATCCAAACATCACCTTTCCGGTACGCATCGGAGGATATTTCGCCGCGTACGACTCATAGCCACACCGAAACGCGGCGCGGAATTCGTGGCTCGAGTAACGGGTACGTCAAGGTCACGTAAAGGCCCGACTGTGCGATTTCGCGACCGGCGGAACTGTATTTTTCGCGACACCATTTCAGATATTACCCGGGTAACACCTTACTGATGTCGTAACGAAGAACTCGAGAAGCGCGGATTACCTCAAGTATTGCTTGAGGAAATAAAGAAAAAGAAAGAGAGTGTCCGGAACCGGTATATACTCGTATAGCCTCCTTCGCTTCTTTCTTTCATTAAAAGCGAAGGTCGGCTCTTCTCGCTTTTTCCATTTGCTGGTACACACCTTTGCACTATATTTTTTAAAACGTAGCTTCACAAAACTCTTACTCGACAGTATTCAAATAGATCTAACTTTGATAGCGTTGTCTGCTATTTGTATCGAAGCGTCAGAGGCGTTCATTCGTTCGCACTCGACGGTCACTTTGAAAATCAATTGCCCACCTAGTGAGCGCTACTCGAGGAATTTCACGACATTCACCGGACTCAAGAATCTTTCGAGATAACGACACTCACTTTTCTCACCGCGGCAAATTGCAAACTTGCATTTTCTGGCACGAGAATCGATGAATCACTTCCGCGTGACGTTTTACGAATGAAGATTGTTAAGAAGACTTTCCTTGTGGAGCCGCACCAAATACAAAGGGTGCATTCCAAACGAAATAAATAACAGATGTCGCTGCACAGATTCAATATAATTCATAAATTTTATATATTACTTATAAATAATTTTTTTTTCAGAATAATTTATAATAATAATTTTTATAAAAGTTAAAATTATTTTTACTATTTTCTATACATAATATATATTATAATTGAAAATCAAATAAAGTTAAATAAATATGATTTTATTGCGCATGTATCTATACTTTCTATTGGATAATTACTTAATTTATCAATGTGCCAATGGTTGTTCATTATATAGATTTATTTTACATCTTTTAAAATTAAACGTAAAAATATAAAAATGACAATTGCAATTGGATTTGAAGGTAGTGCAAATAAATTAGGTATTGGAATTATTCAGGATCAGAATATTTTATCAAATGTACGGCATACGTATATTACTCCACCAGGTGAAGGTAAACTTAACCTTTAATGATTATTTTTAATTATATAGCTTGATTATAAAAATATTGCAAATATATCTTATTTATTATTATTTAAAATATTATTACATAAAACCTTTTAAAGATTATTTTGAAAAGGCTTTTTACCTCGTGAAACTGCACAACATCATAGAGAATATATACTTAATATTCTACAAAAAGCATTGGATGAAGCTAAAATTACATTGAAAGATGTAGATATCATATGTTATACAAAAGGACCAGGAATGGGTGCACCATTAACAGTTACTGCATTAGTAGCAAGAACAATTGCTCAGATATATAATAAACCAATAATAGCAGTAAATCATTGTATTGGTCATATAGAAATGGGAAGATTGATAACAGGAAGTATAAATCCCACTGTTCTTTATGTTTCTGGTGGAAATACACAAATTATTGCATATTCTCGACAGAAATATTGTATTTTTGGAGAAACAATAGATATTGCTGTTGGGAATTGTTTAGATCGTTTTGCAAGATTGTTAAAACTTTCAAATGATCCTAGTCCTGGTTATAATATAGAACAATTAGCAAAAAAGTAAGTATTTTATTATGATAAAATTTAAATCTATTAAAATTACATAAATTTAATTAATTATATTTTATATGTAAAATAATATTATATACACAGAGGAAAAAAATTAGTTCCATTACCTTATGTAGTAAAAGGAATGGATGTATCTTTTTCTGGAATTTTAAGTTATATAGAAGAACATATTCCTTCTTGGCTTGATTCAAAAGAATTTACTTCAGAGGATTTATGTTTTTCTTTACAAGAAACAATATTTGCTATGCTTATAGAAATTACAGGTTTTTTTATTATATTACTTATAATTTATATAAAATATTACATAGAATAAAATAAATATTATAAATTTAATATTATTATAGAAAGAGCGATGGCCCATATAAAGTCATCAGAAGTATTAATTGTTGGTGGTGTAGGATGTAATGAAAAGTTACAAGATATGATGAAAGTTATGTGCAAGGAAAGAGATGCAACACTTTATGCTACAGATGAACGATTTTGTATAGATAATGGTGTAATGATTGCTGTTGCTGGATTACATCAATATAAAAGTCAAGGAAATACTCCATGGGCAGAAACAACTTGCATACAAAGATATAGAACAGATGATGTTTATGTTTCCTGGAGAGAATAAATTAATTTTATGTAAATTTGTATATGGAATTGTTTAAAATATTCATTGTTAATGAAATAAAAATAAAAAAAATGTATATGTAAAATAATAACTAAAAAATTTTGATTATATGATTATAATATAATATGTAATTAATATAATAATTAATATTATATTAAATAATATTATATAATTATATAATTGTTGATATATTAATATAAATTGATTTTATTCTCTAATTATAATTTTCATATTAAAAAAATTTTATTTTATATATTTATAATATTTTTTATGTTATTTTTTTTTTTTCATTTATGACATAGATAAAATGAATGTAATTGTATATATATTGAATATATTTGATATAAAATGGAATTTAGAATGTATTCTGTTTCAAAAGTTCGATCTTCAAATTATTTAATTTTCGAGTTTAAAATAATTTGAAATTTTCACATTTGAAATAATATAAATAGAATTTATAGAATTTGCTAAAAATATTAATCTAATTCCCAAAATTTAATATAATATAAACAAAATTACAATATAAAAATTACACAAATATTTTAAGTGTTTACTTTAAAACAACATTAATAAATAATGATAAAAAAAATTAATTATTATATATATATACATATATATATATAATGTATGTATATATATATATATATACATAATATATACATATATAATATAATAATTCATAAGTATATTATTTTATAATATATTATAATAACATAGATATATTATTTTATTTATAATAATATATAAAAAAATATTTTATAATAATCAATCTATTGTTCTAAAATAAACATATAGAATTAATTAGTTGCTTATTACGGATTATATACTATTTAGTTTATCTTTATTCTTGATAAGAAGAAGAGAAAAAAAACTTGAAAAACGAGTAAAAAACTTAAGATATTAACAAATCAGAAAATAATTGATTAAGAAAAATTTTTATTTAAATTATAGAATATATATATATTCTATAAAAGAAGAAATAAAATGTCATTTCTCTATTATTAAATGATTCTGAATAGATGTAAAGATTTATGGTTTTTTTGCTTTCACAGATTTTTTATTTGTTTTCAAATCTCTTATTTTGTCTGATTTCAAACAAAAAATAAAAATAGTTTATTTAGCTAGAGTATTGTTTATTTCAGAACAATATTATATTTGACTTTTTTTTGGAAAGATATCAATCTAATGTTATTTTATTTATTTTTCATTTGGTTTTATTATATTATTATTAAACAAATTAAGTATCTTTATAACGATATTTTAAATGTTATAAGATGTAAATAATTCAATAGTTTTTTAATATCTGCAATGGAAATGTTCTTATGTAACAACATGTAACTTTGAGCTTTCTTTGAAATTTTTGTTTTATTTAAATATTTAATTGAAATTTTGACAATCCATTGTACATCTTTTATATATCTTTAAGTTAAAAATTATAAATATTAAAAGAAAAAAAAATTTTTTAATTGAAAGAAATCTGAAAAAATAATTTTATAAGAATTTATAAATTTAATTTTGATATTTTATAATTATTTTTTTTATACATTATTTAATATTTTATACATTATTAATTTATTAATTTAATTTTAATACAATTATAGTTATTAATATAATAAATATCATTATAATATTTATAATTAAATATATATATATTTATAATAAATATATCTATAAATATTTATAAATTTTATTAATGAAATTTAGTTCATTGATTTAAATAGACTGTGTAATTTTTTTTAGTTTGATATAATAATATTTTCTGCGCACGCATATATATATGTGCGCATGCACAAATATTATACAGGTTCAAAATTGATATCGAACTATCAGTTGTAAAAAGAGAAACGTGAACATCATAAGTAGAGGTCAAATTTTCATGACACGCGCGATAGACAGGGTAGTGTACAATATTCGTCCACGCAAGCGCAAGTCTGGCTGTAGTCCAAACAATCTTTGTTGGTAGCAATAGCGGTTATAATATTAGTAGAATTCATATTGTCATCATTAGTGGATACACGATCAACTTTGTTAATAGTTAGAAATATCAATGCTTATATTTTGTTTTTGAGAAAATTATTTTGCAATTTCGTTTTAATACAAAAATTCATTATTTAATATTATGATTGTATATTAAAATTTTGATTTTTAATTTAAATTATTTTTTAAGAATAACAATAGAAACACGAAATTTTTTTTCTTTTACATCAAGTTTAGGTAAAAGCGGTTATCATATTGACTATTTGCTAATCGATAGACCTGCAAACGTCGATTGCAGCGCTTAGTGTGGAACAAGTGGCAGTACGATATTGTCGTCATTGCTCGTCACTGATCGTCACTAGTCGTCATATTATTCGTAATACTACTTAACAAAATGTGTTACTATATTACTGTGTGTAATGTATCTTTTCGGATGAGTGATGCCCATGTTTAAAACAGAGGTGAGTTGCAAAAATTAGTATGTCTAGTTTGTTTCTATTACTACTGTTCGTCTATTTCTGTATAGGAGCTATTCATTATAGGTACCGGTACACGTCAAATATTGTCTCCAAATAACACGCGTACTCAGATAATTTGAACCTCTCAGCTGTTCGTCCTTGAATTTGACATATATATTTAATATTTTATTATTATTATTTTATAAATTTAAATTAAAATGCTTTTTTGATAAAAATACATTTATCATTAGTACGAATTGATAATGAAAGATATTACACGTTTGTATAGTTAAATTCTGAAAAAATTGAAAAAAATTTCATAGAATCTATTACAACTATTTAATTTTTGATGATTCAATATACTAAAAATATTTAGACTACAATGCACAATGCTTAAATATAATATGGAAATGAATCAATATTATAAAAAATCAGAACAAGAATAATATGGAAAATATTTTGCCTTTAATAATTAACTGCTAAAAAATAAAAAAAATAACTATTTAAAACAATTTTAAATATCGGAGCAACAATTTAATTTTTATATTCAAATGAATATTATGATTACAAATTTAATCACAGTATTTTTTTATTTAATAGAATAAAAAAATATGATATTTCAAATTTGTAAACATTAAGAGATGTAGTTTGTAAATGTAAGTTGTTCTTTATTATTTTGCTTATTAATATTCTTCAACTACTTACTATCTATGATAACATATATGACGAATTATTTGTTAAATGGATATATTTAATTATAATTTTTAAATTTTTTGAAAATACATATATTGTGCTTCTCTATTACATATAATTTATTTTTTTTCACTATGTCGCGAATTTGAATCGCAGATGATGTTATTAAAAGCAAAGAATTCGAAGCAGGCATCGTATCTTACGACACTTGGCGAATATTTTTGCTAGCTATATAACATTATATTGACGCGTAGCCAAAATCCAGGTTGTGCATCCAAACAATACGTGGACAACACATATTTAAATAATAATATCTTGAATTATATATGCGATTGTTAGCTATGATTATCTTATCTATTATATAAATATTTTTCGAACGAAGATCTGGGTTATAAATCAAAAAATGAACATGCACAATTTTATATAAGAGCTAAATAATAAAGAAAAATAATTTAATTACTAATAAGAATATTAAGCACAATGTTACTCAAAAATGTAAAAAAGAGAAACTGGTTTAAAATTAATACTATGAATAAATATCATGCCATGATATTTAAAGTTATTTTTTAGAATCATGCGAATAAAAAAAATATTTCTTTTTATTTCATACAAAACTTCATTCTTTTATCAATTTTTTAATGTTTTAAAATGATGCTGAGTACGTTTAGTGTAATAATAAATATTTTCAAGGAATAATTGATTCAAATAATAAGAATTTATTGAAACAATTGATACATGTATGTTCTATGATGCCGTAATCGTTTAAATTGGATATTTTAGGTACATTTAACTGTACATAAGATGTATATTTGCATTTGCTTAAAGTATCCAAAGAAATTCAAATAAGTAATTCAATGATCGAAGTATTTCGCCTCGCGCAGTTGCTTCCGCCCACATGAATCGATCTGCGCAAAGTAGATACCAGAATGTACTCCAAAAGTTTTTAGAATACGAATGTCAAATAATTATTAAAATTGTAACAAACAATATCTTGTTTATTTATATATAATTAATTACTTTTTTCAAAGATTATATGTATAATCAATTACAGATTAAAATCCTAAATAAGATTATTTTGATTAGATAATCGTTTTTTTTTTTCATCATAATACTTCAATAATTTAAATATTTATTAATATTAAATATTAAATAAATAATAATTATTTAAATATTTATTTAAATATTTAAATATTTATATATATATATATATATATATACTAATATATAAG